AGATTCATTTCCTGACCGGGTTTATTTGTTGAATTCGCATGAATATTTTTAGGCTTGCATTTGTAGTATGAAGAACCATCACCTGTTACTTTGTGAAGGATAGCAAGCTCCCGGCACACACTTTTCTCAGCTGATTTTTTTTTCAAGGTGTTTAATAAGTGCTAAATTTTTGTGGCCTGCAGCTATATGTTGCACAGTTTCTCACATTCCCCTTCATAATCTTACACTAACCAATTAATTCAGGCTGGGAAAGAATATTTTTGCCTTAATACTAGTGGCAATGACCTTTGACAGTATCAATTAGAAACTCTTTCATTATTTTCATTCCTCTTTCTTATCTCTTTTGTTGGAGTTCAGATGGAAACACTCTCTGGATAAATCATTTCACTGCTATCATTCTTTGAAATAATACTCTTTGGACTTTGCACAGGTGAATAAAATAACTGTTTTTCTGTAACTGAGTGATAGTGTTGAGATATAATCTCGTCTTCTACATACTCACTAAAAGCATATTTGTGCTAATAGTTGTCATTTGTCCTTCATTTTAGAAGAGGACCAATGACATCACAATGCAGGGGTAAAGTAGTGGATGATGGGTGATGCCTTGACTTGCAAATGAATTGGATGTGAGGCATGGTTTCACAAAGTCGTCAGCCTCACTCTCTCTTCCAGAGTAATCTAAGTCCAGTGGCAGTACAACAATCTAGACAACTGGTGATGGTCTGGGATATACTGGGTGACCTTGGTGTCTTCCAAAACTGGCTGCTTTTGTCATCATTATTACTAATAATATCCCTCTTCTCACAGCATATTGTTATTATCTTTATCCCTAGATAGAGAAGAGAAATGGCCTACTGATGGGCTTAAAAAGTAGATTCACTGTTAAGTTTCATAACTACATTGAGCTTATTACTAGGGCTTAACTTTCTAATTTCGTATTGCCAGAACATTGACTAGGCTTCATTAAAATATATTTCTAAGGGAGAACATACTGAAAATATGTATCTTCAAAATATTCCCAGAAAATAAAATATCAACTATTTCAAAATAAAAAGACAGTCATACGATTGATCTGCAGCTAGTTTTTACCACAATCCCCACAATGCTTTGCAACACTGCCTACAATTCCCATACTACAACACCTAATTTATTAACCTTTTAGTTTCCCAGAAAGAATCAGATAGCCTAATTTTAGTAGCACACTTTTTTCTAAATTATCAAATAAATAATACTGCTTTACAGAATTCTGTTTTGGTAGTAAATTATAGATTTTTTTAGTGTCTTAGGACATACAATTCTCTTTTCCTTTAATAAAGATGTATTCTAAGTAAATACATCTTTATATGTTTCTCATTTGATTTTTTTATGAGAAATACTGCCACAAAACTCTCATTTGTTTATCAGATATATTGCATTAAAGTATATTTTTTCTACATTCAAAATGACTTTTCTTACACTCATCACCCAATAACATTGGGGAGGGTCAGTGTCCAGTGTTATTCAGAGTGAAATATCACAACACGTTGTTAAACATCTGCAAACATCTGCAAATGAGAATTCCATGAAGTAATTAAAATTCCTAATTAGATGCACCTTGCAGCTGCTGTTAGTCTTAATTGGCAATAATGCAGCTACATTTTGTTCTGACACATATCTTCAGAAGAGTTAGAAAGAGAACTGAAGGGAAGCAAGAGAAAAATGTTCCCACACAGTTCAAGATAGTTCGCACAAAGAGGATCCCATGGCAACAGCAAGTCCCACAGTTTGCTCTCTAAAATCCAGGAATAGACAATGCTTCACCTCTGTTTCAAACAAACATTTCCCTTCCTGAAATTGAAGGAAGAGAATGAGTCTTATATAGTCTCCTGCAATAATAGTGAAAGTGGGCATTTTTTTAAAAAAACCTGTGTCTTTAAGACATATATCAAAGTATCCAACCAGCTCCTTGCAGCCAGTGACAAGGTGACAATTATTTCCAATTGTATGTATGAAGTATAACAAACCAACTTGCCATTTATAGTTAATCCAAAAGACTTTGTGTTCAGAAACTCTTCAAGCTAGAGGAAACATGAGAGATGACCTATCCTAAGACCAATTTACAAATGAGAGGAAAAAAAGAAAAAGAGGGCAAATAACTTGTCTAAGAACAAATAGATAGTCATAGAGTTTGGGCTACAATCCTGGTATCCTGATTCCCAGTAAAACATTCCACAACACCATATTTTTACATATTCAATACTTATTGTCTTTTTTTTTTGTACCCATACTTGTACAAAGGGTGCTGACCTGCATTGGCAGAGACAGTTTTTTCACCTGGGTCTTCCCTATACCAATGAAATTATTGGTTTAGTACTTATCCTAATCCTATGTCTTGAATGGGATCAGCTTCAAGTCTGAGAGAGGATGTGAATGGAAAGGGGACCAAGTAGAATTAAGACAAATTAAAGGTTATTTCATAGAATGTATTTGACTACTGAAAGCAATAAATTTCCTATTGTTCCTGTTGTCCTGGACAAGTATGTGGAACCTGGGGGAAAAAAAGAACTTTTTCTTCTGGTTTTTCTGCCTGATCTGAATTTTCTTGACCAAGGAGGATGAAATGGTTATCAAGATGGGAAAATGAAATAATTAATCCCTAAAAACTTTTGAATAGACATCCTTTAAATTTGAAATGTGTGGACAGGAAAACATTTCCTCTTTCCTTTAAGATAACAACTCAAAACTCACTCCTATCAGCAAGACTTGACTTTAATGAAATTCATCAATAAATAAATATTACCTGCTAATAGAACTGCAGGTAGAAAAATGAGTATATCTAATCCCTGCCATCAAGGAATTTGCAATCTAGTAACAGAGATAAAACGCACATAAAAACTATGACAAAAACAAAATTAGTGTACCAGAAGCATAAACAAAATAATATAAAAGATTAGAGGAAGGAAGCATTACATCCAGCTTAGGAGAAGAGAGAACAGAGCAGAGAACAATTCCACAAGGAAATGACACTGGACTTCCTAAAAATTAAAAGCTGTCCAAAATTATAATGACTTTCCTGGAGAAGCAGTGGGTTTCTTCCTCTTGGAGGTCCTCAAGCAGAATTTGAACGATCACATGTTGGACACATAATAATGGGGATTGCTTCTCTGTATGGGTTGAAGTAATGGCCACTAAAATTCTTGCAACTCTCAAATTCTGTGATTCTGGAGCTTGGCTTTGAAGGATGGGTAGAATTTCATCACACAGATATGTATAGGGGCTATTTCAGAAAGAGAGATTGTTATGAACCAGATCTTAAAGCATTAGAGAGGATTTTGATAAGTTAAAAAAAAAGAAGAAAGGTAATGCATTCCAGGCATAGTAGACAAAAATGGCAACTGTGTAGATTACAAAGGGCAAAATAAGTCCAGTTTCTATCACTATCATGGAGTACATGAGATGCAGTGGTATAAGGATAGGTTGGAAAGTAGGTTGGAACTAGACTGTGGAAATTCTTATGTGGGAGATTAAGAAGTTTGGATTTTATTGCTATGGAAATGAGGAGTAATTGAAGGTTTTATTTGAATAACTTCATTTCAGATGCAACTATATCTTAATAATTCTCCCATCTAGCCTTAGGTATATTTCATATATTTCATGATTTAACCATACCTTACACTGGTTTTAAGACTGTTTTAATTACATCTTTCTGCCTTTGTTTTCCTTTCTGATTAGAATGTAAGCTTGAGGACAATGGCTTTTGTTTTCTTTTGTATTCTCAATGTTTAATAATTGTGGAATAGTGTAAGGTTTTTCAGAAATAGCCAAAGTGTATGTGTGTGTGTGTGTGTGTGTGTGTGTGTGTGTGTGTGTGTGTGCTTGAGCATGTTTTGGGAAGGTAAACATTTTAAAAAGTCTACCTTTTTATACATCTCAGCTGCCCTGGCTCATTTACATTACTCAGTTAAAGTAAATGTCAAACAAAAACTTTCATTTCTCAATATCTCATGCCAGTGCTTTACTTTTTCGAAATATAAGGGACGGCAAAGTTTGGCCAGAAAAAACTCATGTTACATATCTCAGTCATACTTTAAACTACCCTCCCCAGGACCCTCCCCCACACTCCCAGGGTTTCCCTACCTTTGCTTTTTTTTCCCCCACAAACCCCACATCAGAGTATCTTTTTCTACATCAAAAGAATGGGGGGAGGGGTTCAGTGGGGTTCAGCCTTTAAGGATAGGAAACGGAAGGCCCCTTTCAATCAATCTTTGGATACCTGCTTCCCTACTTCCCAACTTGTTCACCTTTCTTTTCTCACAAATCCTGTTTCCCCAAGCTGAGGCATACAAGTCAAAACACCGCCAGAACCCCCAAAGGAAAATTACAAAGAGTTAATGGCCTAAAGGCCAAGTACTTTTAGTTTACATATTTAACACAAAGCTTTGTACTCTGAAACAATTATCTTTGGAACTATTATCACTGTGAGCTGGAGGCTGAAAAGCAGCCCCCCTGGTTGGATACCGGTCTTAAAGACATAGTGACAATGGCCTCATTTTTGCTTACTGTGTGCCAGCGACAATTTAAGACCTTACCAAAGGGAAACGCGATTTTCAGGAGGTTACTTATGAGTGTGTCATCCCAGCCTGCAGTTCCCCTTCCTCTTCTATCCCTGAGGAAAGGGGAACACAATCCACAATCGAATGGGGCCAAAGTATCGGGCACCAGTGACGTAGAATGAAAATGTGATCCTCTGCATTTGCCTGGAAGGACAGATTACTATAATTTTAGATTTCCCAAAATCCTTTCCCAAAGATTCTCCTGTCACCCCCATCCACACCCCCCCCCGCCTTTAAACTAAAGCTAGCAAAGCGGTGGTTATATGTGGATTGGCTAGTACTAAAATATCCATGGGGTGGCAGTAACAGTATCTTCTTTATGACTTGCAGCAAACCAGAGAATGCATTCAATCAAATGAACCGATCTTGTAGAAACATGGAATCCTTTATGCATTGCAGTTTCTTTCTCTCCCTCTCGCTTCTTCTTCCTTGGGATATTTTGAATGGATTGTATCTATTAATCAAGACCTCTTGTTATTTGTTGTTCCTTGTTCATTTTCACCAAAGATTAGCATCATTCAGGGCAAATGCACAACTGCCTTTTCCCCCCCAAATCATTTTTGGGGACTGTCGGATAGAGTGCTAGCTAGGACCCAGGAGACATCCTTCCAAACAGCAGGGGTTGTGTGCTTCCACATAGCAGTACAGTACAAGGAAAACCCCATCGGATCTGTTATTGCAGGATACTTGTGAAATATACATAGGATTCTTTCTTATGGCTGCATCCCGGATCTGGAAATTTTACATGGGCACTAGGAAGCTTTGAAAGGCTCCATGCACAGAGAAGATTTGCAACCAGGACTCCTCTTACCACAGAGCTCACTGACTTGTTCCGTTATCAATTCCTTTTCTTTTCCTTAGCTTCTTTTTTTTCTTTTCTTTTCCTTTTTTCTCCTCTCCTTTCTGTGTCCCTCCTGGTCTGTCTGTTTCTCCTCTTTCCCCTAGTCTTTTATTACCGCTTCACACCTGGATCGTATCTTCACTGAACAAACGGCACTTTGAGAACTAACAGAAGACCGTCTTGTGGAGGAAGATCTATATGGAATTATCGGCTTTTATGGTGAATTTGGCACTTGTGAATGGGTATCTTGTTCGCATTATTAATTGCTAGCAAAAAAAAAAAATCACACACACGGGAGTAAAACGTGGATTCTCTGAATACGCATTGTGATGACCAGCAATTCCTTATTGACTGATATCAAGATCGGAATATTTTGGAAGACTGTGGGTAAGGTCATTTTATCTATGCAAACCCATTATTGGAGTTACGGAACTTGGTGGTTTGTAATTGAAATGGGTACTTTCCTGATTGCTGCATTACATTGATATGTGTGATCTGGTCATTATTGGCAGTGAATGAAATAACTGCAGTGCCCCCCCCTTTTAAATGCATTTCGTGATGAATCAAAGCATCACATTTTTTTCAATCATCTTAATATGGAAGAGTGGCTTGAATTTATTCCCGGTAAGCACTCTTTGTCTGGATGCGATATTTGTAGCTCCTATGTTCTGAATAGGAAACACACCAGTGAAAGGAGCACTTAGTGGTGAAACCTATTTTAAAAAAAGAAACGGGCTACTCTCTATTCACTGAAACAAATATGTTTTCAACTCTGTGTGGCATTCTGCTGCATTTCATAGCTGCAATGGAATTGGTGAAACATCCTGGTCAAGTTCTTAAACTTTAAGGTAGCAATTACCTTTAACTGTTTTCTAGGTTATGGTTATTGAGAATTGTTAAGTGCCCCTCTCTACTTTTTCCCCCCTTTAATCTACTCGATTATCATTCAGGAAAAAAAAATTACGAAAATTGTCAACTGGAAAATGGTGGCTATACCACAGAATAATAATAGTGGAACATAATATTAAAAGTCATCCTCCTTCCCTGATTCCCAGAATCAGCATCCCAATAATCCCTTATTTACCCAATACCCTAAATAACCGAAGCCTAGACCCACGTGCTGGGGAGCTGAAGGTTTGGAAGTGGAGACCTTATCCCCAGCCTTTTATTCGTATGCAACCAGCCTGGGAAATGCAGGCAATTAAAGACTTCTGTTGATGTTCAGCCTGAAGTGCCCTGTCTGTTTCATCTATTTTACCCTTACAGTAAAAAGTTAAAGGGACCGGAGCCCTGAGAACGGTTAAGCATATTCAGTTTGGGAAACTGGAGGGGGGGGGGATGGGAGGGGAATCAATGTTGATGACGTTGCTCGGTGCACTGTACTGCAATGCTAAAGTGATATATACAGTATACGTTTATATCTATGCATGTAGAGAGGAGAAAAAGCACCCTCTCTTTCACCTGGCTCGTTCATCAATAAAGGAGGGGAGAAGAGATGCAGATCTGTGATGGATGGTAGTCGTGCATAATCGGTTATTATGTAACTTCATTACATCAGCGGTCTTCAGTCGGCGATAGTGAGAGGGGATGATCTCTTAGTGTATCAATCACCGATTTAACTTTTGAATGCTTGTGACAGCTGGAGAGGAAGGAGGGCACTGAGATTAGCTTCAGGGCTCCGGTAAACCCTAATCTCTTCCCGGCCAATTTAACGTGAGTTTTCTCACAGTGAGTTCTCTGGGACAGCAGATCACAAAAGCTCCCGGGGCTGCACTGTGGCTATTTCAGCCACACCCGTGGACAGTCAGAAAGCACTCTGCAATGTTGTCCCTCATGTCCCATTGCCTTGTTGGGACTGGGTGCTCCCCACCAAGGTCATGGTTCTCTACCCTGTGATTTAAATATACGACGATCACTCAGCAGAGGCATAACTCAAATTGAAATGAAAACTGTGAAAAGAATCATTTCCTGGTGACCCTTCTAGCAGTTTTGAAAGGTAGGGATTGATGGTAGGTTCAGCCTGGTAGTTGCAGCTCTTAAAATTGTTTTTATTGCTTCCTCCATGATCAAGAGATGAGTGTTTTAGGGCCTTTCTTTCTATCTATCTGTCTTCTTTTCTTTCTTTCTTTCAACCATAACTATATATTCCTGGCCTGTTTTAATCTGTAGAGAGAAGGAAAGCAAAATCTTCAAAGGTAATATCCTGATCTATTTGCTAAATTAAAAAAAAACATGCAAATTTCTCATTCACCCAAATTCCGGAGGAAAAAAGCTATACATGTTCAAGTTTTAATTATTTAAGAACTCAAAAGACATGTTGCAGCGGCCTATGACTTTTGCCAGACAAATGAATAGGTAGGCAGTCCATCTTCTATTTAGATAGGAGGAAATACTGCATAATAAAACATTGTTTACCCTGTTTTTTCAAATGAAGTTGTGCATTTCTCAAAACAACAAAAACAATAGAACTACTGAATCACTCTCCTTAGACATCACACTTTTCGAGAGACCTGTTTTCTACATCTTATTGCCTACATTTTCTGAAAATGTAACCCAGATGAAATCTTAACCTATCAATGGAGTTATCTTAACAACCACCTGCTCATGTCTTTTTCTTATGATTTCAATTTACAAAGAAGGCCTATATAAGATTTTTCTATTAGGGAGAGGTAAGAGTAATCCCTCCTTTCTTTCACCCTTATCCTTCACACCTTTTCTTGACATTCTCTTCAGTCCACTACCGTTCAGTGCAATATTGTGGTTTTGTACTCTTAACTTTGGGAAGGTTTGTTTTCAACATCAGATAGTGCTGCAGTTTTATTTAGAGTTTTAAGTTAAAATATTGACGGAGATTTTTTTTTCCTTCAAGAGATATTCAGATGCTAATGAATTTCACTAATGTAGTTTAAGGCTTGACATTCATATTGTCTATTCAGCAACTAGGAAATTGGATGTGAAGTTAACTCCTGGTTCCATCCTTCAGGGGTCAGAATAACACTATGGCAGCTCACAGGCTTCAGTTCATCTCTGATTATATGCAGAAATTTCTATGGCATGGTCTTTTTTCGTTATCCCTTACTTTATTATTTGAGGAATTACTTAGAAGGCTGTTTCTGTGACTTAAGTCACACACATGTCATAAACAGTGTATTGCCCTAGGGAAGGTTTTGCAAACTCAGTTGTATATGAAAACAAATAATTTTGAGGGGGGAAAAGGAGGAGGTAGTGTAGGAGCAAGTCAGTACAGGAAACATAACCATGAATTTGCAGTCATTTTGCTACAAGACTATATACTTACATTTGAGAAAGAGGGTTTCAGTGATCTTAATGATACTTCATCAGCTTGTTTCCTTTAGAAAAGGGATTATCAAACCCCAACTGCTTATGACATTTCAGTATGCTGCAGGGGGTGGGAGCACTAAATAAAGGGCTTCTTTAATGTGAAAGTTTTTTTTTCTTCAATATTAAGCTATGGACTATTTAACGTAAAATGCTTTTTCCTATGTTCTACTGTCATTTTATAAGTTAGATGAGAAAAGTCATTTGAAGAATATCCACACTACCTCCCTTAAAAATAGAAGCTACTGAGAGCTTCTTTTTTTTTCTTTTTCTGCCTAGCAAAAGCAAGAGATTTGGTTAAATAGCAGCAATATCTCTAAATCATAATCAATATTTTAAAGGGACTTGCATTGCTTAATCTACTCTCATGTTTCTAACGGCTAGTCCAAATTAATTGTGATTCCTAAAATAACTCAAAAAGATTACACATCTCTAAGAATAACAAAACTTTGAGGTTCCATTTAACATTTTTATTACAAAATATTTTAGCTAGTTATACACTGAAGTGTTTGAGCTATACTTTGTCTTACAGAACATGTGATCTTTAGTGCTTGGAAAATCTCTTGTTTTTATAAAGTGGTTACTTTATAATTCATGGCAATTGAAATGTCCAGGTACAAACTGATAAATATGATTAAAAAGTAGCAAGTTATCTAATAGTGCTCGAGTGATAAAGTATAATTATGGTGCCACCATTTGTGCAGCTATAGATAATATGGTGTCAACCTTTTTTTTTTTATTAAATTTCAATCTTCATATCAGGATTCCCACAAAAAGAAAGAATACAATGACATTTCACTACTCTTATGTCAACTAGGGTTAATCACATATATTTTCAATATCTTCAGAGCACAGAGATATATAAGAGCTCCATACCCTCCACTAAAGTTAATAGGCAAATGGAGTCACAAAGGAGATAATATATTTTGATGGTGAAGTAACAAATTGAGACCAGGACAGTTTGGGGAATTGATCCCCAGTTTAACTGCTGAATAGCAATTCTATTTTTTTCCAAAAATATTTAAATATTTGAAGGCCCTGGAATATCAGCAAAATTGGTACCTCCCAGTGTGAGAAGTCCTTCCCCTGAGACACCACAACACTTGTAATCTCATTGATTTGATAGCTAAGCCTAATGTTAGATTGTCATAAGTAACTGAATAAAAATGATTTTCAGTAGACTTAAATTCATGGTAACTAAGGAATTTTTTTTTAGCTGACTATATTTCTTCTTATGATTTTATTTATATACAGGAGATGTTGCTATGTAGGTCTCTATAATTTCATTATCATAAATCAATCATTAAGTAGAATGAACAAGACAGTTAAGAACATGAATCCACATATTTGTTAATTCTGAGTTATTTTAGAATTTGTTTTTTGTCTTAGTTTCTGACTATTCTAGGATACGTAATTGTTCAATTGTGATTCTTAACTACCTATCGATTTTAGAGCTGGAAAGGACCTTAAAGAGCTTATAGTTCAATCCCCTCATTTGACCAAGGATGAAAACTAAACTCAAGGAAGATGATTGATTTGACCAATGTCACACAGGGTCTAAGTGTCATAGCTGGTATTTGAACCCCACTTCTCTAATTCTAAATTCGGCAGTCTTTGCACTATACTACATTGCCTTACATGTCTTTTACCTTCTTAACACATTAGTTTCTAATGTGAAAGAAGCTATGATTTCTTCAGTGTGAGGAATTTCTGGTGTGGAAAAGCCCTCCACCAAAGCAAATTGAAACCCTGTTTTATTGAAGAAAGCTGTCTGAAGCACCAAGAGGTTATTGGTATATAGGTATATAGGTATGCTAGAATTATACAATTAGTATCAGAGGCAGAATTTGAACCCAGGTTTTCCTGACTCCATCATTCTATATACTACAATTCTGCCTCTTACATCAATATGATATATCTAGAATCAGTGGTGTGATTTAAGGAAAGTGACTATTAAATAATGGTAAATTGTGTCAATTTTACTATAATGTGGGTTGGGCTGAACTGCAGAAGAAAAAAAAAGAGCTTTGAAAAGATTTTTTGAAAGG